TGGATGAAAAACAAAGAGGAATGTATTCAAGATTTCTTTGATAAGAATCCAGGACAAACAGGACTCAATGAAATCTACCTGTATAAGAGATTCAAGTTACCGGACCGCAAAAGAAGCAAACATATGGTCTTAATAGGACCCAGACATCCCAAGTATCGGGAATTCAAATGGAAAATCAAATATGTCTTGGCTCACCAAAGAGAGGGACCCGAGAAGACTTGGACTCAAGGGAAATGGATAGAAAAAGCCGGAGATTGTATTAAAGATTATGGCAAGAAAGTGGTCCTAAAAGGATACGATATCATGGACTGTGCTTGTGAAACACACTATTTGTACATGAGGAGATCGTTCCCCATACAAAAAGAACTGAAGAAAAGTTTTGAATGTTTATTATTATGATGTTCTTGTTGTTATGAATAAACCATAGACATCAAACATTCTGATGTTGTTAGTTATTTTTCCCTTAAAGTAGGTCTATACTCGCACTACGTCATTTACGAATAGTAAAACCGGAACCACACTTCCTTTTTCCAAGATGAAATTTTTTAACTATATTGGTTTGACTTTTACTGAGCGTTTTAAATATTCATGAACGATTTTGCTCGAAGTCGGTCGCGTCAACAAACACAGATTCTACAGTTTAAGGATAAATTAATTAAGAAGAGAAGGCTGGGAACAACTTTTGACTGACAGAAATAATTAGGTAATAAAACGATAATTCTGTGAATGATGCATGTTTTATATGCCGCGCCGAAAACACGGACCATATACGTGCTACATCAGAACATGTATCAAACTATCGAGGCGACTATTGTGATAATTCTAATAGTGATAATTCGGAAGAAAAGTAATGACTACGATTTAACTTTGACAATTTATGGATTTTACTAATCAATCATTACAAAATTTACTTTGAATAATAATTATTGTATAAAACGCATACCCCCTCCCCCAACCTGCTTACCCACGAATCCCAATGCAAAATTATCTTTTGAATAAGTATTTGACAAAAGTTGATTCACTTGCACCACACTTCGTTACAGTAACTTTCTGTAGCAAAATCATCCAGTTTATGAGAATCAGTTAATTACTTTCATTTTCATCGTCTCCAATTTAAAGACAAGTGTGTTTCATTTTTTTATTTTTTATTTTTCTAAGTAAAATAAAATAAATTTTAGGGACAATAGGTTTTGAGTTTGTATAATTATTGTTTTAAATTATGTACAGCTTTGTTAATACAAGTATACACTCAAACATTAACAGTATTACAGAAATATGTGGCAATATATTACTTCTAAAAGAAAGAAAATAGGGGGTCCCTTTAGTGTAGAGCTCATACCACGAAAAGTAATGTGTCAACATATATTTTTTTTAAGTTTATTATTTTTCTTAAGTATAATTTAGTAAAAATAATTCAAATTTACAAAGTTTGAGTCCATATTTTTTTTTTAAATGACCGAGATTGTCCTATGAAGCATATTTTCTCACATTAAATTTTGATACAATAGCCTAACAAAGTGCATCTATTTATAATAATCCATGCAAAATAATGATTATATATTGTTTACTAACATGTTTCTACTCTATTTTGGGTATTAAAGTTGAGTATTTAGACTTGAATTAATTTATATACAACAAAATCTAGGATAGGTAAAATTTCAGTATTTTACATTTCGGGGTAGATACTCCGATAGGCTATAGCGGAAAAGTGAACATGTTGACATAATTTTTCTTGTGTCTATCCATTGCTGGGATGTATGTCTATCTTATAAAAGCAGATTTTTAAAGATTGAGCCCATTTAGTGCCGAGTATAGAACTACCTAAAGATACACTTCACTGAGATAGAAAAAACAAACAAGACTTGTTTTTATTTACACTTTTATTGTTCAAAAGCATATTTATTTCCATCATATCTACATAAAGGACATCTCCTGTAGGAAGTTTGAAAAAGGTTCTTTACACACTTTTCACAGCAGGGGTATTTCATACACTGTCCACATTTCCATTTTCCTTGAGTGTTTATTTCCCAGCAGCAAAGACATTTCTCAATCTTACTATTTCTTTTCATGAGCTTGGCCCAAGGGGGTGTGATTTTCTCCACTGGATATTTCCATAGGAAATATTTCAGGCACCAATCACAGGCACAATCTTCTAAAGAAGGGGGGTCTTGTATCACCCAGTGTGGTATAGGTTCTCCACATTCACTGCATCCCCAAAACCAACTAACAATTTTTCCCGCATGATTGTAGGCGGCGTATTTCCATACCTCTTTCGTCTCCTTATGGCAGTGATGGCATATTTTCTTTTCCTCCTCGTACCAATACATAATTCTCCACGCAAAAGACATGATTGCTAAATAATAAGCGCAGTGAAGTCAAAGCGGCGCTCTATATACACTAGCTTTGTCATGATGACGTCACAATCACGGATTTGAATCGCTGCCAAGTATTTACCTGTGTAGTCAGCATAAAAAACGTAGGTAAAACGTGCACACGCCCCGCCCCCACACAGCAGGTATATAAAGCGGAGTTGGGAGTACCCTGCACTCATTATTTAGCAATCATGATTTGTGTGTGGAGATTGATGTACTTGTCATGAGGTAGAGATATATGTGTCATTACTGTGATCAGAGCACCAGGAATTTTAAAGAATTCACAGTGTATAACCCATGTCCCGGATGGCGTTGGAAAGTCTATAGGATTTGCCGGTATTGTGAAATGCCATTTCCACACTGGTTTCACGATGATGAGCCTTCTTTAGAGACTTGTGGTTGTAGCTGGTGCCTGAAATATTTCATCCGGGAGAAAGGAATTGAGAACATACCTCCTCCTCGATGGGTGAAAATGACCAGGAACAGACCTTTGAAAGAATGTATGATGTGCTACTAGGAAAAGACTCAAGGAAAATGGAAATGCAGACAATGCCGGCAATATCTGTGTTGTGAGAAATGTATAGAGAAGTTCACAGTGACCTGCTACAGAAATTGTCCCTTATGCAGATATGAAGGACATTAAAATCATTTTTTGTATTTTTTACTTGAATAAAAAATTTGGTTTTTTAAAATTCTTGTTGTTTTGTTTAAAAATAAAATAAAATAACATAAAATAAAATTTAAAAAAAAAATCGGGTTTTATCAAGAGGTGTATAACAAAAACTCTCTCATTCTGAAAAAGGACACTGAGCAAGTCAGACGTGTTTTCTTACAAAGATGCAGTATCGTTGGTATTGTGAGAGTCCCATTAGTCAGTGTATATACATGCAAGGAGGGTGGATGAAAACTTAAATTAGGAGCCATCATGGACTTCTATGAAAATCATCCAGGCTATTCCCTGGAGAATGTGTGGTTGGAAAAAAGAATGAAAATTCCCTATCCTCTAACAGGATATGGAGTGAGGGTGAAAATCAACCAACATTACCAGCAATACAAATGGGTTACTTGTACTCAAAGGAATCGTCTGACACCCATCAACACCATTCAGAATGAAAGTCCATGGTACACGGACATTGGAGATTGTCTGAAATATTATTTCAAGATGGAGAAAAAAGGACTGATGTTTCCACCTCATTATTGTCCTACAGAGTATGTGTATTGTCGCATTCCCTTTGCCCAGATTAAAGACTCGATGGAAAACAAAGGACTTTTGTTGACTCGAGTGATTGAGGACCGATCATCAGACGACGAAGACGAAGAAGAAGAAATAGAAGTGTAAATCATTCAATAAATTTTTGAATTTTTTAAAAAGTGTTGTTATAAATAGAAGGGTCACAGGTCCTTTTTTTGTTGTTGTTGCTAAAGTATCTCACTAAAACATGCTCATCAATTTAAACAGGTATAATTTTTACTTCTTCAATTTTAAGGTATAAGGTCAAAATGATTCAATTTCACATGAACATGAAGTAACAGGAAAAAGCCATAAGTTTTTCTAAAAGGTGGTGTTATTATTGAGATTGTGCTAGTGGTTACATAAACTTAAGGAGAGGATAGCCTATTTTTTTTATTTATTCAATTGGACAAAAAACCACATGTGGCACAAGTCATACATATAGTAAACAAATATAAGATTAAGAATGCAAACCTGCATGGCTTTCAGTTTCACTCCTGTTTATGTATGGCTGAGGTTTATATTATCCTATTATTAATGTTTTGCCATAAAAAATGCAAGACTTTAAAATGATCTGTATTTAGTTGTATGCAGTTCACCTATGAGAGCTTGGTAATCAAAAGGAAAATTTAAATGTTAAATTTAAAAAGAAACTTTTAGAAAAAAAAATAAATTTTATCAATTGAATTCAATTTTATAATTTATTTTTAAACTTTAAAATTCAGGTTTTCCTGGACAAAAAGGGGTTCAACCCCCTTTCCCCTCTCCCTTGGGTGATGGGTGAGGCTAACTTTACATCATTCTCCTTTCATAAAGATTATTTACACATCATAGCCACTATCTACATGAAATTTCATGAGTTATAAAGGAAAAGGGTTCTTCAAATATTCCTCAATTTAGTGTGGATATATAGTTTTAAAAAATTATTACTCCTTGGAAATTTTTGGGTCTTTTGTCTTTACCATCCCTTATGACAGCAATTCTTCAAAACTGCATGAGGAATTCCATAGGTTTAACTTATGATAAGAGCATTTCCTTAGGTTAACAAGTGTATGGATGATAGCTAATGTTGAATCATTATATATTGATATATTATGCTAAAATTTAAAAAAAATAAAAATAAAATAAAAAAATAAAACATAAAACATAAAAAATAAATGTGTTTTATTTTTTTTAAATGTAAACTGATATATTTCAATAAAAACCACACATATAGACTTTCCCAAATTCCAATAAAGTAAATATCCATACCTTTTAAACTAAACACATTTTATTCATCTTAAATATTCACGCAGAATAAAAGGTGAATTCCTAGAAATCTTATATAATCTCTTCTCCAATGTTGAGTGAATGTGTTCAAGTACGACTTAATTTTCTATGTAAATTAGGCGGCCATGGCGAATCTCGGCAAGATTTTACCCCAGTGAAAAAGGCTTGTAATCCAAAGTGTCCTTATCCTGTTATTATCCTGTTATTCGCTCCGCGGTGTGAATAATATTTGACGTTGTTGACGTTACGTTTTTCTTCATATTTATACTTGCCTTTGAAAATGTAGAAAGAATACATAAATACTTTCAGATATTAGCCTTTATTCCGTGGTGATTTTTTTATCACGACTAAATTTCATTACAGGGCATATTGGATAAAATTTTAGATGTGAGAGAATTATTCAATGCAATGTATAGCGTTTATTCCGTGAATTTCTCTTATACGCATGAGGAAAACGGCAACTGTTATCAATTAATCTACTCTCTATATATACTATTTAACGGAATAAACAGCTAGTATTTTCATAAATTATTTCATGTTTATACATTTATCAGGGAATAAAATGTTATATATTATGTTTGATTTATTACGAAATAAACTTCATGGTTTATTGAGTAAAATTTTAAATGTGAGAGAATTATTTAGTATATATAACGTTTATTCCGTAAATGTCTCTTATATGCATGAGGAAAACGAAAACTGTTATCAATTTAATAGCTAGTATTTTCATAAATGATTTCATGTTTATACATTTATCAGGGAATAAAATGTTATATATTATGTTTGTTTTATTACGAAATAAACTACATGGTTTACTGAGTAAAATTTTAAATGTGAGAGAATTATTTAGTATATATAACGTTTATTCCGTAAATGTCTCTTATATGCATGAGGAAAAACGAAAACTGTTAATTTAATTTTTATATTATTTAACGGAATAAACAATATTTTAATGAATAATTTTATGTTTATACATTTATCAGGGAATAAAATGTAATATGTTATGTTTTTACGCTTGTTTTGTCACGGAATAAACCACATGGTATATCTTCTTGTTATGTCCATTGTTTGCTTACATGTTAAATTTCATTGCGTAGGACTCAAAAACATGTAGAAATGTGATAAATTGTATGTTAATTTATACACCTGTAACGGAATAAACCATATTTTTATGCTACTTAAATTATATTGTTCTATAAATTAAGGAATCCATGCCTTGAAGTGGTACAGGTATCACTGCTGGTAAAGTGCGAATCGAGAAAATCTTGGTTTCGGACACCAGCTACTATTGGTTTACATCAATGAGGCAGTTTATATCAACTAAACGATCAGAAATGATATAATATTTGATTAAGACGTAATTATTAATGTTCAGTATGATTTTATGCAGTAGAATTGCTTGTTAGTTGAATACATGTAAGGAGCAATCCAGTAACTGCTTCAGTTTACACCCGTTCAATGTATTTCACTGGATCTATTCATATTTTCTTTTTACATGTTAAACACGATTTACGCTGCGTTATTTGTGTAAAAGTGATATGAATATGTATTGTATGAGTCATTTATGATTTCCCATGCCTTTAATGTTTCACAAGATTAAAACTTTTGATGCAATATAAAGTTTTCTGATATACAGCGCGAGTATGGTTGCTGTATGTGCGACTTTTGGCACCTGTAATTGCTACGTTTGGCTTCTGTTCTGTTTCATAAGGCGCGACGTTTCACTGCTGTATCATTGTTTTCCTAGTAAAGCATCTAAAAACTTAATTTTCGAACATTAGATAGTGCAACGTCCTTGAATACGTCCCAAAAACATATACCTCCAGTCCTTGACTAGTTGTTTCATAAATAAAGCTTCTATCAAATATTTAATGTGTATTGCATATAACTCCCCCCCCCCAATAAATTGTCCGATTATGTGATTAAAGTTAAAGGATAAAAAATGCAGAATTCACTCTGTTTAGTATACATTGAATATCATTCTTTAAAAATAATCTTTTTCACTAAAATATGTTATATGTCCATTAAAGCTCTATCCCATAGTTCAATTTTAATAATTCCACTTTCATCTTGTTAGTAATCTTCAATTGACTACCTATGTTTTAAGGGTTACTAACTTTCAATGCAGAAGAAACGAAAAAAAAAGACCTTGAACCCCCCCCCCCCCTCCCCCGGAATAAGAGATATTTGAAGGAATAGACGTTGAAACATGAAAGTGTGTTATAACTTTTTTATTCACCTCCTGAATAATTTTTTAACCTTTGACTTGGAAATATGGCATGGACAGGCAATAAGTATAGACGGGCGAGCTGCAGTGCCATCAACTGGAATAAAAGTGTATGTTTATTTGCATAAAAAATGCACTGTTTCTCGGTTTCAAACTGTCATATTCTCAAACTATTTCTAATTGGATGTTCCAAATACAAGTAAATTCCTTTACAATATCCACTCACTATTTCACAACTGTTGTAAATAGCCCTCCTTGACATGAAATTGAGACCATCGAATTTCGCATTTTTACTTCCATTTTTAAAGAAAAATCATTTCAATATTGCAACGCGATTCATGAACAAGTCAACTACAAGAGTTGTTTCTAGAGGTCTTAGGATTATGTTTTTTTTAGCTTTTGTGCAGTTGAGATAAAATTCTGAAGGAATTAATTTAGCACCAAGCACAACTTTTGTGCATAATAATTTTTTTTAAACAGATTTTTGTATGAGTGGCATTTTGGTCGTCTATCTCATTTTTTTTTCAGACCAGCGAGTTACAGGAAGGCAGCTACTTTACGATTACTAAAAAGTTGGGAGGGGGGGGGCAATCATATCTGCATTAAAAACTCATGAACATGAATTAAAAAAAATCAAAAGACTATTTTCAGAAAAAAGTACACCTCAACTTGCATACTACGGACCTGAGATGTTACTGGATAAAAGACTACATGCAACTCAACTCCAAAGATACTCACATCGTGTTTTGAATAAACATATATTGCAAGGAAAACATTTCCATTATGTATTCAATAATGCTTTAAAAAGCTTGATCGCTTGATCACAACATTCGTATATGTATACCTTGTGCAGCTTTGGATTATTTGGTGTCACCGTCTTGCTCATTTATACCATATCACTCTATTTAATAGTAACAAAATAATTTAACTAAAAACACAATATCCGTAAAAAGAAATGATGGAACACTATGTATTGATTCAATCAATAGTAAAAAATTACCATAAACTATAAAGACAATTATTCTTTTCATGTAAATTTGAATAATTTCATATTATTCACGTTAAGTAACATAAACCAACAGTCTCAGAGACGTAAACCAGTTGTCGCATTTACATAAATAAAAAGTCGCCTGTGTAAAAATTTAACAGAAACCAGTTGTAGCACCTATAAAATGAATTTGCTAGTTATTGGCAAATCCCATGGAAATAATTCAATTAAAGCACATTGTTTGTGTCCATCGCATAGAAAAACGTTGGATTAAAGTTAAATTTATCAACTTAACTGTCCAATTAGTCCAATAGTACTGTATGTACTTTGCAAATGCGAGTACGTGAAAAACACGATGTAAACAGTCATTTACAAGTTATATTTCGATATGAGCCCTTTTCGGGTATAAAAGCAATCCAATCGCTAAACTATTTAATGAATTTGCTTTCTACAAAGTGATTTTTATTGTTGTTTTACAAAAAATATGTATTAAACTAGATAATTCACAGGTGCCAATAGTAGCTGGTGTCCGAAACCAAGATTTTCTCGATTCGCACTTTACCAGCAGTGGGTATATCCAAGTGAGTTTACAATATCATTCGAACAGTGAATGAATCTCTGTACATACATGATTTTATTTCCTGTTTACTATATCAGACCTAATTCAAATTGAATACCACCATAACAAAAATCGAAAAAAACACGCTTACACGTTTACTACTTAACAATAGGAACAATGACCGAATGCATGAATAGTGTTCACCTTATTGCTATGGTTCAGTGATACTCAGTATGGCCTTTGTAAAAATCTTCCCCCGTTTATTCGCACCGGTGCTAACAAGTATACCTCTATTTTCATCCATTAAATACTTTTCTCACAATGAATATCCACCAAATAATCCAGTTTAGCTTGAACATGGAAAGATCGTCTGTGTATATATATATACTTCTGTTATTCGCACCGGTGCGAATAATTTTCACACTATATCCATTCATTAAATGTATTTTAGAGTGTCTCCCCCCAAAAATATCCAAGCCCCATTTTTTTTATATTCTATCCCCCAAAGAAACCCTTTTCCCGGGAATACTTCCCTTTCCTGGGCATTTTAGCTTGAAATCTGGAACTTCGTCTGTATATATATACTCCTGTTATTCGCACCGGTGCGAATAATTTTCACACTATATTCATTCATTAAATATATATAAATGAAAACGGAGAATGTTTTGGATTCCTTTAATTCATACATTTGTATTCTTTAAATTTTAAGAATAACAAAACGCTTGATATTTGCATTTTTATTATATAAATGTTAGTAAGGAATGCATTTTCTCATTACTGTTATTAGTTTCACCTGAGATCTTATTTTTAATTTGGACCTTGACCTAAGATAAATGGATCGTACTGAGGTTTGTTTTAGTTTTATTTGCTATTTCTGCATCCAAGGAATGTTTTGACGTTACGTCAACAACGTCAAATATTATTCACTCCGCGGAGAGAATAACAGGATAATGCCGGTCGTTTAAAGTTGTTTCACATTGTTCATGATTGCGATTATGTTATCGCTCACCTATATGTTTAATGTCAGCTATGCTAAAGAACCCAGTTCTGCGTAATTTGAGAGAATGTTTTGACATGTGGTTAAAGTATGGCGTGCTATTCATGTCAACATTTAAAGTCTATAGTAAATAAGTCTGTCTTATATTTTACGAATCATTTAATTGAATAGAGTGTTTAGAATTTAGATGTATTTCGAAGAAGAAGAGTATAGGTAACCATGTATATAAGAGATATTATTTTGCATTACATTAATAAGAGGCATTGTCTCATGTAGTAAATTCATAATAACAAAATGGGTTTTATTTTCTGCAGTCCTCAACCTGGAAGATATGTTTTGTTCCTAACCATCTATAATCCATTCTCTATGAAGTGAAGCCTGGCTGCTGGTCTTCCTTTGGAAATACACAGTTTGTCAACCAACAAAGAAACACACAAACTTGAATCTAAAAGTTTCAATGAGATATAATTTTAAATTCTGTTTTTTTTTCTTCATGTTTTTTATTTTAAAATGGATAAAAATAAATCTGATAATGGAAATCAATACCATAAAGATAGCAAGTTTTTTATCTTTAAGTGCTGATGAATTTCTGAATTTTCCATTAAATATTGACATTATATCACAGGGGAAAGAAAACTACTTGAGTGTTTCTACTGCCCCCGAGATCTGCTTATGAGTGCATGGGGACTGCGGTGTACCTTCTCTCCTGTTTAAACAGACTTTGGAGGCTGGCGCATGAATCTTCATTCACAAAAGGTACTTTCAATATCAATAAGGCCACCCATGTATTTTAAAAGATGTCTTTTACATAGGTGTATAGAGAAACCAAAGTGTCAGAACACAAACAGGTCAGGACAATCACTTATGCAGTGTACTTCCATAGGAAGGTTACACACTCATATCTTTGGAGGAATGCTATACCAAAAGACAGTTAAGATAATAGGGTATTTATATTTCTCTAAAATTTTAGGCATCAACAGTATGTCTGTGGAAGTTCCATTATTCTTGGGAGTTATGCCCAGCAACACAAATCATGTCCAGCACGTACATTGGATCTGCTAACTTTACTTTAGGATACCTAGGATTTCAAAAGTTCATCATGTTCAGGTTTTTTTTTTTTTTGTTTCGATATTGTATGTGTGAAGAGAATGTAGACTTTGATTGGTGTCAATAACAGTCTTTAAAAGATAAAAATGTTAAATTAGAATACAGCGAAATAAATAACCATTGGTTATTACTTAAATACTGATACAGATTTGAACATTGACAAAAAATATTATTTAGTAAAAATTATGACAATAAGAGAAGACAAAAGTTAACTTGATGACTTTTTGTCAATAAAATATTTTCAAGTCATTTCTTGCACTTTATTATCATATCAGGAAAGAAGACATTTTAATTGGTAAATGAAGGAGAGAAAAATTGAAGGGAGGAGGTGTATAGTTTACATGGTGCATTTTAAGTACTATGACTAGGGTGAAGAAGGGGATTTCACTTGGATAACTGAGGCTTGGTTAACTGAGGAACAGAAACAACACAGCTCTGTGGTATGGATTATTTATGAAGAGTTATCACAGGTAGTATTTAATTTTTTTGGAGAGAAAAAAACTGATTCTAGATGTACTGAGATATCCAGGACTTTAAGATCAATGTTCAAGATACCAAAGTTAAATGAAGATGTATTAACTTGTTTTGCAAAGAATCTGTTTTTAGTAGAATTTGCTTTCTTTAATACATAGATTTTGCTACACTGACAGGGTATTCTGTATGACAAACTTTACATATCAGTTCTTTACATTATCATATTTTAACAGTGATGATTATTTTTTTTCTGCAAGCAATGAAAAAAAATAATTAACACTACAATCTAAATATATTATTGTTCAATTTTAGGTCTGCATAAACAGATGATTAACTGATGATTAATAGCTGGCCATACCAAGTTTGAACCTGACCACCCCATTTTGGAGTAAAGAAGCTAAATTGGAGAAAGTTAAAAATAGGAATTTTAGCAGAGGGAAATTTATTTTATCAGAGGTAAATTTATAGAAGCGGATAATGAATTGGTATTTTCATGTTGTGCAGTCATCTTTTCAGCATTGGAAATTTTTATTTAAATATTGTTTGAAAGAAAACATATTTTTTTTCCAGATAGCACATTCTGTTCATAAGTCAAGGAAACATATACACAGCATTCTACATATTGTCCAGGACCAGAAGAAGCCAGTGGTGTTTTATAATTGAAAACCTCAGTGACATCTCTTCAGAATGTTTTCTAGACCTTTGAAATTTTAAACTAAAAAATCATAACATGTATATCACAGAGAGAAGACTATCCGTTTTTTATTATTATTTTTTTTTTTTTATTTTTTATTATTTTTTTTTTAAACATCACTTTAAAGTATGTGAGTGTCCAGATTATTTGTATTCTAATAAATTTAAAGTTCTGAAAAAATAAAAAAGACATACCAGAAATATTCATGTATATTGCCATTGAATAGATAAAAAAAAACCCTGATCTTTTAAATTTTTAAGCTGTACAAAAAAAGTTATCATTCCAGGAAATTTAAAAAATGTTGATGCATTTATACTCACATTCAAAACATTTTAATTTTTTTTTAATATTGTTTTTGCTTGAGGGATGAGACATTAATTAGTTAAGGGAAATTATTTATTTTAACTCTACCAAATAATATGAATTTTTTAATGTGGCATGTTTTGATTTTCATGTTAAACTTTGTCTTTTTTATGAGAAAAACAAAAACAACAACAACAAAACATGAAGTGGAAAAAAAACCCTTGCAGGAAAACAATGGGATATGATGAGAGTTCATACTTATGCAGATTTTATTCTATAGTATTACCAAGAATTGAAAAAAGGGGGGAAAAGTAAGAAGATAAATGACAATGAAGAAAACATAGAAATAATACCATGAATTTTCTTTTAACCTGAATAAATCCATTTGATTTTTTGTCTGTTAACAAAACAGCCTTTTTGAAAAGTTTGGTTATCCCCCTTTAACCATAAAAAAGATGATTAACAAAACATGAGTTGGGTATTCAGTATAGAATGGGAAGATATGTAAATGTAAATAAAATTTAAAGATTTAAATTACATTTTTAAGGTATAGTGATCAATGGTATTGCTCATTTTTCTGTATTGTTAAAAATGAAAGATGATTTTTAAACTTTTAGACAAATTAAAGTTACATGTTATCTAAAATCACATTTAAACTTTGCTAGAAAAAGAAAACTACCAGGATTTAAAAAAAAAATGAAAGGAGTTTGTACTTACAAGTAATAATCATCTACCTCATTGCTTTCAATGAGTTATGGAGTTTGAGAAATATGTTTCTGAAGAAAAAAAAAATTACTTTGAGAAGTGAAAATTTTTCTTTTACAACAGAAAAAAGACCTATTTAATATCAGAAACTGTGTCATGACCATGTTTTTGGGACTTAAATTAAAATACTAGGATGGTATTTTATGCAAAATATACATACATATCACAAATATTTCAAAAATCACTCTTAAATTCCTCTTAATATTTGGGTTTTTTTCCCCATGATAGTTTCACAGAAAAGTATAAATTCAAGGTGTGAAATTAAAAACACTCAGTACTGTTGTTGTCTCAACCATGGGTAACACCTTTAGGAAGCAAAAGAGTAAAGGAATGAGTAAAATTCAGTTTGGAGAGAGAGTTCTTTTAGAGAAAGATGTAGACAGAGGTATACCAATTCAATTACATGATGATGGGACTATTGAGATCATTTCTCATGAAGAATATAACCAATTGTGTCCAGAAAAGAGTTATCCTAATAATTCAAGAGATTACATAGAAAGACCCTTGATTACAGAAGAAGTCAATGAGGAATATAACCATTTATTACCATAAGAGGGTGAGGGTAACCTGGATTACCCTGAAAGACCCTTGACTAGAGAAGAAGCCAAGTTTATAGATGATAAGAAAAAAGAGATGTCAGAAAAAAGATTGACAAAGACACAGGATTTTAAACCCACAGAGGAAGAGTCCACAAATAATGAAAGAAATCCATACTCAACTCTTGGAAGACATTAAGACTCATTATAATAACAAACATCAAGAAAATACTGGCAATGGTTATATTGCTAACTTTAAAATAGAGAGATTTAGAGTCGCAAAAAATTGGATATTTAATTTAACTGGGTGCAGACAGGAAGATGTAGATCAAATCATTCGAAGTGATTATCAATACTTGATCTTACAAAAAGAAATGCATCCAGAAACTGGAAAACTTCATCATGTGAGAGGATTCATTCAAATGAAATACAGGGCTCATGAGAGATACATGTACAAAAAGATTCATGGGTTAACCTGTTTTGATATGTCTCACAGCACACCAGAATTGGAAAGAACATTTTACAAGCAAGGAGGTGACTATGAAGAATATGGGGTTCTAAAACCTGATGTGAGAAACAGAGAATTTGTTCCAAGAGATTGTAGATTTACCTGAATTTTTTTTTTTTAAATATTGAAAAAACAATTTGTACACACTTATGACAAAAAATAGGTGTACATTCTTTTATCCACATAAAGTGTATGTGTGTATGTTATTGTTGTTTTGATGAAAAAAAAAATTTAAAAATGTGATTGATGTGAATTTATTTAAAAAAGGGTTAATTATTATTATTATTATGATGATGATGATGATGATGAAAAGTTGAAAAAATTAAAAGTTTAAAAAATTTATAAGTTTAAAAAATTTAAAGTTAATTTTTAAAAAAAATTCTAAGTTTTTTAAAAAAAAAGTGACCTGGTGTTATAACTTGAGAGACACACACGTTTCTTGTTTTTACCCACTGTATAAGGTACTCTTTTCTTGTTTTATCCGCTGTATAAGAAGGTAATCATTTTCTTGTTTACCCACTGTATAAGAAGGGTACTCTTTTTGAACACACAAATCCTTTCTTTTGACTGTATTTTAAAAAAGATCATTTTTTCTAAGATACAATCGTTTCTTTGACTGTATTTTTGAAAAAAGAAAATCTTTTTTTCTAAGACACACACAGAACGTTTCTTATTTACCTCTTGTATATGAAAGCATCTTTTCTAAACATTTGATTGGCCCTTAAAAGGGCCGGGGTAGATTTTTTTAGACAGGGTTTACTCCCTGTGTCTCCTGCATGGGCCTCTAAACTCCCGTCTCTCAGAGAGGGGAGGGCGATGCCTGCCGGTCAACGGCCCCATGAAGTCAGTGGGATCAGGGGGTGGTGGTCTTCTTGGGCGAGGTCTTCCTAACCATCTCACCCTGCGGGGGGCCAAGTTGCTTGGACGCCTGCGTCGACACAGCGGACAACAAAACGGGGGTGAACTCTGCCCAACCAGCACACGGGAACAGCTGTAACATGCGGCCCTGTTCCTGCAGTCCTCGCAAATGTAATTAGAGAGCTGGTCCTGTTCTAAACACACCGGGCATTGGTCAATGCGGGCCTCGGCAACCTGAATCCCCCCATGGTGGTATGGGTCCTCGGGTGGAATTTAATTCCCTGAGCCATTGTATACGTGTCGTAGATCCGATACTAACAAATGACGCCGACTGCTGGAGAGCCTCTGTATTTATCCACAGAGCACGGACGTTAAAGAGAGCACCTCGATGGCAAAAGCCAAAATATCATGGCGAACTGAAATTGTGTGTGATTTGTACTTTGGGACTTATACATTTTCATGGATTATTTAGTATGTATTCATAGTAGGATTCCAGCATGATACAGGTCTAAACAAAGTAAGTTTTCTGCTTCTTTTCATACTAGTATTGATACATGACATGCATCCGTCGTGGAGAAAAGAGTAAAAAAACCCCGAAGCGACGAGGTGAAATTCAGTGACCCGAGTGTATAAAATAAGCCTTTACAGTCTTTTTAGAGGGTGAGATCCGGAAAACTCATGTGGGTTAGGGAGAAGGGACTTAGGGAAGAGTGCCAATATAGTTTTTATTTCAAAAGAATCATGATCAGGGTAAAAAACAAGCTCAAATAGGTTTACCTATAAACACAATGGGGGTCAGAGGTCACAGATTTTCGGAAAATCATACTATGAGATACATAAGGATTCTTGGAAACTAGCTTTTATCTGATTGATATCTTAAGAAAAATAAAATGTCACGAGGGTAAAAACAATTCGTATTTACTTTTTACATCCTTTACAAGTCTTGATGGTTTGTTTTCTTTTTTTTTCAAAAATTAAACACTGTAGTGACACTGGGGTGTTAACAACGTATGACATACACATCCCCTGATTTTTTAAGTAACCCAATGTTTAATGAAAGAAAATTTTACATGAAAATCATTCGTATTTACTTTATAGATCATGATCCACTCAAAAGCTCATGGATTGAGTCAAAGTCTGGCAGAGAAATTCCCACAAGCCAATCTCTATGCCACCCGCAGACCTCTAGGGACTAGAAATTTAGCCGTAGAAGAAGATAGAGGAATTCCAGGCACTATTAAGGTGTTTCCCTCACAAACCCCTGTGGTCATTTGTTTACTAGCTCAATGGGATTATGGAAAAGCAAGTCACCAACCTAAAAGAATTTCCACTTAACAGGATGCAGCACAAAACAGAGAGCAATTGTTTCAAACTTGTTTACAAGAAATGGGGGAAAGTTTACCTTACCAGACTTATGCTTTTCCTTACAAGATTGCATGTGGACTAGCCCAAGGAAATTGGATTCATTATAGACATTATATTGAACAATTTGTACACACATATGACAAACAGATGTACATTCTTCATCCACATTAAGTGTATGTATGTATGTGTTGTTATTGTTATTTGATAAAAAATAAATGTTAAAAATGTGTGTATGTATGTTTGTGTTATTGTTTGATGAAAAAAATAATTTAAAAATGTGTGTATGTATGTGTCTGTGTTATTTATGGATGAAAAAAAAAATGTTAAAAATGTGTGTTTTGATGTGAATTTATTATTTTTTTTTTTTTTTTAAAAAGGGACTTTCCTATTGATTATCATTATTATTATTAAAAAGTTTTAAAAAGTTAAAAAAAAATTTATAAGCTTTAAAAAGTTATCAAATTTTTTTTAAAAAGTGACTTGGTGTTATAACTTGAGAGAAACATACACAACGTTTCTTGTTTTTACCCACTGTATAAGGTACTCTTTTTTTTCTTCTTTTTTTCTAAGACACACAATACGTTTCTTTTTTGACTGTAAAGTAGGCATCTTTTCGAAACAATTGGGTATCCCTTAAAAGGGCTTTTTTTGTATTTGTTTGGTTTTTAACTTTTTTTTGTTTTTTTTTTTCATAATTTTGGATTCTGGTAGGTCCTAGTGGCTCCTAGTGGGACAATAATTGCTCAACCACAACCCCCATATCTTCGTCGGAACTGTCATCTGGACCTTCAAATTTCGCCCTCCGGCTCACATGCTGCATTAAGTTCTCTGCGTTTCTGCACAGGGGGCACGGCAGGTTTCTGTCAATCAGGCGTGCTGTACAGAGTAAACATGCGGGCCTCTGTAAGCAACGCGAACACACATAGTTATTGTTCTCATCATCACAAAAACACAGCGTACAGAGTATCCGTTGGATCGGCATGGCAAGGCCCCAGGATGGTACTCTTCCTTCGTTCCTGGCTTGATCTTGTGGGGTCGGGTTAGCAGGTCTGGGTGGTGGTGGAGGGGGGGACCGGGATGCTGGTCTCTGGAACCGACGACTTCTCCGCCGACGATTGTTTATTTGCATTCTAGCCATATTGAGACGAAGAATTTCTCGGCCGTTATCTATTCTTCTAACCGTAATATAGCTCTCAATGGTGATACCTGGTATCAAATAGAGTTCCTCGTGGAATATACGATTCATGTTGTCAATGTAGACTCTAATCTGGTACGAACAGAATGATGCAGAGCGCTCGGAGGGTCTGTATTTATACACAATAGCAGACGATATTCAAATATCGCGGAAAAACATGGAAAATCCAATCATGTGATCAAATGTGATTGGCTAGCACAAAAAAAATGGCATTTGGTAAACACGCCCACCACAGTGAGAAAGCAAAATTGAAGGGGGTAAAGGCCGAACCCGAGTGTAGATGACGTCATATAATAACATAACAGTGATGTAGTATTACAAGATTTTCTTTATTTCTTAAAAACTAACAAAGCTTCTAACTGTCGAATTCTCCTCCGAAATCGTATTCGATCCGCTACTAGGGCCATCCAAGGACTTCTCCGGTCTTCGGGGGGTAATTCGTAGATTTGATTGAGGCTGGTATTAAAAGTCACTGATTTCCTAGCCTGTGTGAAATTTCCAGGTATTTCATTCCGTATTGAATACATACTTTCTCCATCGCATCTATGTCCTGCCACAGTAAAATCACTTTGGCCGCTTGGGGATGGGTCAGGAAACTGTAAGGCTTTCCGAAATAACGGGTCAGGTTCAGTCCGTACCATTTCTGGGGCAGAATTGTTTTCATATGTCGACATAGAAAATGTATGGTAGCTAGTCTCCCCATGTTCGTCGCATGATGTGATAAGGTTAGGCATAGAAACCACAAATCCTGAAGGGTTTCCATGATAGTGCTGGCTTCCCGAAATACTAGTTCTGTCTCCGGGGGTAGAGATTCTTGGTGGTTTTGTGCCCATCGTACTAAACAATCATACCCATCTAAAATCAGAGAGTGAGTGTGTATCAGGGTTGACATGATAGTCGATTGTGAAGAAAGGATCAGACTTTTCTTCTCATTTATACCCCTGTATAAAACGTAGGTAAAACGTATTTTTGCACACGGTCCCCTCAGAGGTGATGCAACAGGTATAAAAAGGTAGGTCAAAGGTGCACACGGCCCCTGACTTGAATCGCTGCCAAGTATTTACCTGTGTAGTCAGCATAAAAAACGTAGGTCTATCGTATTTGTTGCACACGGCCCTAAACAAACTTGAATCGCTGCCAAGTATTTACCTGTGTAGTCAGCATAAAAAACGTAGGTAAAACGTGCACACGCCCCACAGCAGGTATATAAAGCAAAAAACTGTAAAATTTGATGATCAGTCTTGGTTGGCATTTCGAACTTGACAGACGTGAAAAATATTATGGAAGAAGCAATGATGAATACCCCAGACAACCCCAGATATGTGACACCTGAAGAATATGTAGGAGCCCCCTATAGTTTTCAAGAATACATGAATAAAGAAGATATGGGCATCTTAAATACAACTCTGGATGGAATTGTCAACATGCTGTCTGGTATTGACAACAAGATGAATGATATGAACAACAAGGTGAGTGATGTTGAAAACCAGCTGAATCATCTAAAAATTTACATCACTAAAATGAAAGGAGGAAGCACTTACCAGAAAAAACAAGGGGGATCCGGAGAGACTAAGAAAACAAGACAGACGGATCCATGCTTCATCTGTAAAGAGTTAGGACATTCGGCCCCAGATTGTCCCCGAAAAAAGCTTCATAAGCATGTCTCCAGGACTTTAATTAATCGTGGGGAATCGTGGAGATAAAGTTGAAAAGTCGTACGTCTTTAAGCTGTTGATTTTGGTAAATATAAAGTTTTATATGTTGTAGCAAGTACCCTTAGAAAGGCCTTGTCACTTCGAATACACTTGTGAAGTATGAAAGCCACTCCATTCAATCAAATGTTATAGACAAGGTTAATGTTTTTCAGACAAATAAACAGTCAGATAGCTAGACAGACGGACGGACGGACAGAGATGAAACCATATAACCCCGAATCTTCGATTACCTTGGCATAAAAATATGCTACTTATTATTAATCTATAGGCTTTTTCCATTGCTAACAAATTCGATATTCAAAAGAAGAAAATAAGTTAATGATATAACCTTAATTGTTCATTAAATTATAACTTTTAAAATATAAATCAGTGAATCATCAGTACACTAAAATTTTGCATCCTTAATTCATCGTTTCAGACTTACCATCTTTCAATAAATCTTTTTCGTGGCTTGTTATAATCCCACTTCCGTTAGAAAATTGACACCGGAAGACAGAATAAAGATTTGGATCGACAGAGCATCCACTTATTTCAAATTTTGCAATAATATGCATTCTGCAGTAATAGTAATATGAAGTTGAATTTTCACAAGCTCCGTCAGAAATGGTATAATTCCCTACTATCTGATCTGTACTGAGCTTATAGAATCCTGTTTTATTCACCCTGCCAATATCTCTCCATGTTGAACTTTTGTTTTGTCGAATCTGAGCAAACATTACAGGGGCAATCTCTCTATGATTTACAAGATCCGTTTTCATGTAGCAATAACACCAAAGCTGGATAAAGTTATTGCCAACTTCAGCTGAACCTCCAAAAACATCCCAATGCGAAAACGCGTCCCAGCCTCCTGCAGAAAATGTAATAATCAAGACATTATGAGATTTTTCATCATTTGACAATTGAAAGCTACTTTTTTAAAAAAGAATTTTTCATCCATCAGCATATATATTTTAGAATGAGCAATGTCGTTTACTTATTGTTTTACTATTCATTGGCATGCCCTTTCCTCATTATTGTAATAATTTCAGGGCTCTGAATTAGAAATAAATTTTCTGTTCTGTTCTAGATCTGAACGAAGGTTGTCCTAAAAAACATTGTTTGAATAAATGTAAAAGAATAGGAGCCCATGCAAATTGTTGAGATAAAAAATGAATCACCTTTGGAATATCTTTGACATATTTAGGGAGGCAAACAGAATTTCGGAATAAACTTTGGTAGTTATGTAGGTTGTTTAAACATGAAGAGATATGAAAAGGAAGTAAAAATCAAGATCATTGGACTTAAAAGTATTTTATCGTTTGTACCTTTGCTAGGAGTTCTAGAAGTTAATTTTTTTCTTTAGTCAGATTCAAGCAGTAGATTCCTTATTTTTCGCGAGTAATTTTTATCGCAAACTGGATCTCTTGCGTCAAATCGCGAGAATTATAATTCGCGAATGGACTGTTGATCAACAGAATTTACATAGATTTCAGTACCATAAAAAAAAGCGAGTAATATTTCTTCGCGAGTGACGCTTCTCGCGAAATTACGCGGAAATTAATTCCTCGCGTATCATTAGGAATTTACAGTAAAGACTTGTGCGCTGGGCACTGCTTAGTAACTTGCAAAAAAGGTTCAGGATGGTTTGACTGGTTCTACTGTGGAGGAATCTTTTTGCAGATCAACAAAATTGAGGACAAACTGAGAAAAAAGAATCTATATTTCATGCGTCGAGTCGGCCATTGGCGTCGGAAGCAAATTGAAAGAGGGATTTGGTTGGCTAATTGAAAGAGGGAAAAAATTCAAAATAAAAAAAAAACGGAAATGTGTTTATTTCAGTTATGTTTTTCAGTTTTGTGTAAGTTATTGGTGTGTGAAACACACAGACTTGCCACGTAGGCATATTTCATGAAGCGATTTGGCTTATTTCGAGTGGAGGGAGGGTAGGATCGAACTCCTTTCAGAACCATTTTCCCCCAAACACAACCACTTACCCTTTTATGACCTCCACTTCAGCATGTCTGTTGAGAGGGGGGGGGGCTAAACCTACGCTCCAATTTTCAATGCCTATATTATGTCTAACAGATATTTGTAAAAAAAAAAAATTCCGATCCCTTTGTCTTCCATTAGCTTCTCAAGAATGTGTATGCTGATCAGAGTTTGGAAATTGTTCATTCAAGGAATTAATATTGAAAAACCCTCGGATGATTTGTGCTTAAATCAAGACGGGTAACTTTGGTTATTTACGGAAAATCAAATATAATCCGACATTTCTATTTTTATAAACGACACGAGCTGTACGTTTTAATGACTAAAGTTTTGCCTAAAACCAATATAGAAGAGTGTAATGTTTTGTCGTATTCTTACCTTGACAAAAAGGACAAAAGAAAATAATCATTACCAAAACAGCCATGATACAAAACAGGAAGTTTAAAATTTGTACCTCTCCAGATTATAAATAAATGTACAGTAAATTAAAAAGTATAGCGGAACATTTATGACACACATTTTTTTTTTCAAGTTTAATACTAAGACAATTTGAATTTGTTTTGATAGCTGGAATTTATGAAATTTTCATAGTCATTTAGTTAAAGCATAACGATCGAAATACTCCTTGTGATCTTTAGTCATTGGTGAAAATAGTGAAATATACCCACCCTCAAACTGACCTTGTTAACAAATATACAATATATTTTTAATTTTTTCTCATTAACGAAAATTAAGCATATATAGTTATATCTTGTTAATTTGCCAAAGTTTGAATTTAAAAAAAAATAAAAGTATAAATTTTTTCCATCTTTAAATTGCTTTTTAAAATAGGCATAACTCCTGTGTCTTATCTATTTTTTTTCGTAAATAATTTGAAAACGTGTATGTTTGAGAATTCTTTCTTTAGTCTTGACCTATATTCTGATGTACTTATTTAATGAAAGGTAGGAATAAGCAATGTACCACCCGAAATTGACTGAAATATGCATTATTCTTGTATTTATTTATTAGTTCATTTTTTTTTTTTTTGTTGCTTGGAATAAAATCTTTAAACACACATATTAAGAATTTACTACATTTAATATGTCTTCCAGATATAAAATGTCTAAGATATTAACCAATGAGGAGTGACAAGAGTTACAGTAATTATCATAAATAATAACAATAATAATAAAACTTTATTTAAAGAAGGTAACCTGGTTAGTGCATGCACTATTCTTCCCCAGGGCCTTCTATATATATCAATTACAAAGATATACAAGATACAATTCATCATAAATAACAGTGATAGGCTTAAGGAATTACAATCACAAAACTATGAATAAAGTGTCAATGTACAGATATATATATGACAATCACAAACATTGTAGATACAATATCAAAAACTTATTATGCTCAAATAAATGTGCGACAGCTGATGATGTAATTTTCTACATTACGCTTAAATGCTCGTACATATTGAGAAAGTCTAATGTGTTGGGGAAGTTTATTCCATAAATGTACACCTGAGTACTGTAAAGAGGTCTTGAATAGTTTTTTTACGAAATTTTGGTAATATAAGATCATAATTAGTTTCAGATCGCAGGTTATAGGAAGTTGAAGAATGAAATTCAAATAAGTTATGAAGATATTCGGGAGTCATTCCGTTGAACATTTTGTATAATAATATGTATTTGTACAGATTGACTAGCTCATAAATAGTTTACCATCCAAGTTTCTCAAATAGTGGTTTAGAAGAAGAATCAGGACTTGCGTCAAGAATAATCCTTGCTGCCCTCTTTTGTAATTTGAATAGTCTGTCCATGTCTTGCTTGGGGGCATTTCCCCAAACAGTCAAACAATATTAATAGATGGTAAAATATAAGCATTGTAATATAGTTTCCTGGTATGAAGAGGGAGAAATTTCTTAATCCTACGAAGAGTAAATACTAGTAACTTATAATTTATGGTTTTACAAATCGAATCAATATGATTTGCATACTGTAACTTATCATCAATATGTACACCAAGAATTTTTTCAGTTTTAACCATATCAATTGTTTTGTCTGAGGCATAAAGTTGTAAATTTGGATTATTTAGTTTTGATTTTCTCTGCTGTGTTCCTATTAACATACATTTTGTTTTATCTACATTTAATACCATTTGATTTTGAACACACCATTTCTCAATTTCACAAAAATCTGAATTTAGTGTATTTTCTATACATCTTGCATTATTATTATTAGAATACAGAGAAACATCATCTGCAAACATATTAACATTTGAATTGTTTACATATAAAGGAAGGCCGTTTATGTACAATAAAAATAAAATTGGACCCAAAATTGACTTTGGTGGTACTCTTACTGTAACGGGTAAAATATTGGAGACACATGTTCCAAATTAACACACTGTGTCCTGTTGCAAAGATATGACTTAAACCACTTTATAGCTGTTTGGTCAAATTTATAATGGGTTAATTTCTCTAGAAGAATATCGTGATTCACCGAATCAAATGCTTTACTAAAATCTATAAAATGCAATACCAATTAGTTCACAACGATCCATTGCATTAAGCCAATTTTCTGTTAGTTTTGTAAGGGAAGTTTGACGGGAATGAAGTTCCCTAAATCCCGACTGGAATGTGTTAGTAGATCAAATTCATTAGTGAAATTTTGTATTAGCTTAGCTACATGTTTTTCTATCAATTTAGATATAGTTGGTAGAATGGAAATAGGCCGATAATTATTCGGGTCAGCTTTGTCACCTTTCTTAAAAAAACTTTGGCTTGTTCTAAATTTGTCAGGAAAATACCACTTACTGTGCTAGCATTAATAAGATGAGTTATAGGTTTACATATATATTTAGCTGCGACTTTCAAAAGACGCGGCCCAATAAAGCAAATGCCAGCTGATTTATTGACATTTAGAGAATTTAATATGTTAAAAATTCACTTTCCTCAATTTGATGAATACTAAACAAGGTTTCCTCATCAAGCTTAGACCAAAATTACATAATATATTAGGATCATAATCATGTTTGGCATCTCCAAAAGAAGCTTCTTAGAGACATCCGTAAAGTGGTTATTAAAAGTATTAGCAATATCCTGTAGATTATCAACAATTTTTCCGTTAGAAAAAACATGCAATGGAGTTATGTTCTTTGAATTACATGTTAATTGATTAAGATAATTCCACATTTCTTTGGGATTTGAACTCTGTTCAATCGCTGTTTTATAGTAAGAAGATTTTGATTTGTCTATAAGAAGACTAACTTTGTTTCGATAGAGTCTATAGTTCTCCATATCTCCTTCTTTGTGGTGAGAGTCACGTAAATGTCGAGCATTGTTTATTTCTTGTGTCATCCATTTAGGACGAATTTCACTCTTTACTCGTTTGGTTTTAACCTGCGCATGTTTGTCAAGTACGCTATTGAATAATTCATAGAATTCAGTTAGTATTTTATAAGGGTCATGCATCTGGAGGAAATTGCTAAAGTCTACATCTTTTAAGTCTTGGAGGAATTTATTTTCATCAAACTTTTTGGAATCTCTATACTGAATTTCTATGTGTTTTCCTTTTTGTTGCATGTATTTTGTTTTTCTAGTGGCACATATTGGGTAGTGATCAGAGATGGCTATAAAAGGTATATTTACTTCACACATGTTATCTGGTTTATTGGTGTAAAAGTGATCTATTAGGGTACTTGAGGTATTAGTTACTCTGGTTGGTGATACAATTAATTATGAAAAACCAAACTCCTCTAAAGCATATGTCCAACGTTGTGGGGTTTCTTTAAATAAGTCTATATTAAAATCACCTGTTAAGATAATGTCAGCATTGTCACAGCAGGAGGCACGGTTAATCTCTCTAGCTAGGTCCTCCGCCCAGCAGGAGGGAGCAGATGGTGGACGATATGCTGAACACTAATAAATTGGTTTAGAATTTTTTGTTTTTAATTCTAGCCAAATTATTTCAATATTGCCAATTTCAAAATCAGTTCTACGATTGTATCTTATATTTTTTTGAAATGTATACCACAATTCCACCACCTGCCCTCAAAGTGCGATCCTTCCTTTCCATAAATTCAAAGCCATCAATATTTAATTCCGAATCACTAATATATTCATTCAAAAAGGTTTCACAAAGTCCTAGAATATTTTAAGAGTTTGACAATGTTTGTTTTGAAGCAAAATTTTAATTTCTTCAATTTTTGGCATTACATGTAGGTGGAAAATGTTAAGGTTTCCAAATTTTAAGCCTTTTTCATCAAACCAAATTCATAGAAAACTGCCGGTCACGGTAGCCTAGTGGTAGAGCTTTCACTTAGTGATCGGGAGGCCCGGGTTCGATTCTCGATCGCGGCACCGCGTCAAACTTAGACATAAACATAGGTAGTGACTGTTCCTTCGGCAAGCGCTCGGCATCAGAAGTGAAAGTCACGGTTCTTTCGGATATGACCTTTAAAACGTAGGTCACGTGTCACGGTAGGCGTTGGCACTATAAAGAACCCTCACTGCTCAATGGCCTTGAGTTCCAAGTATAGGTCTAAATTTGAAGCCTTTCCCCGGCAAACGGTGATGTTTCAATATGAGTGAAAAATTCTCGAGTGGGACGTTAAACAATATGCAATCAATCAATCAATCATAGAAAACTAAACTATTTCAGAAGAATGATATCCCATTTTACGAATTTTAAACGAAAAACAGATATGCAGTGGAAAATTTGACGATAATGATTCTTGTGATATAACACACGAAATGATTTTTGCTAATTGATATCTGTGAAAAAATGTGTCCTTTAAATACCACCGTAAAAAGCAATGCCATTAAAACAGAAATATTTTCCAACTTGTATGCTGCGCAGAATCATTTCATATCAAAAAGGTTCATCTAAGATATGCGCATTTAAATTAAATGGGACTGCTTATAGTAAAACTCGGGTAAATAACGATATAATCCACTAGCATAAATGTTTTTGAATATATTATTAAAGCTATATTAGTTTATGACCCTGAAAGATGGGAAATATTTTATGTTAATTCAAAATTAAAGCAATCTGATAATGTATTGATGCAACGATGCTACAAAAAATTCATAGTTGAAAATTCTTTAAAACTGCATTAGGTTTGAATAAGGAAAGAACGAACCACGTTCCTCTTTCAGAACTAGGGAGAAATCTATTACATTATGATACCATCATCAGAATATTGACAAAGTTAAGATAATATTTTCCTCTATTAAAAGATGCATTCATATGCAGTAAAAAAATTTATTTCGTTTAAAACATCTTCTTTACAGTCGGCATTTCGTATATTTTATGGTCCTTATAATGACTTCTTTCGCAACCGTATTATGGATCGTAATTTGGCTGACTTATGTCGCCTGCGTGCCGCAGTGGTAGGAGCGTCTGTTCTAGAGTCATGAAGTTAAGGAATTGATCCTTACGTCGCAGGTTCGAATCCCAC